CCGGAGCAGGTTGAAGCCCTGGGTTTTCAGCATCTCGACCTCGCCCCGAGCTCAGCCTCGTCTTCGGGATTGCTAGCAGTAGCTATACCAGTAAGAATAAGAATAATCCTAGTAACAATGAGAATATAAATTGTAGTGGCAGTAGCAGCAGCAGCAGCAGCAGCAGCAGCAGCAGCAGGAGTAGTAGCAGTAGTAGTAGTAGTAGTAGTAGCAGCAGCAGCAGCAGCAGCAGAAATTTTGGTAGTGCAATAATACTCAAGCGGAAACGGCAATCCTGCTTCACCCCGAAGTCCTTCCCAAGCCCTTATGGTATCCTGATAGACTTATAGAAACTTCCCAGAGCCCTTATGGTGCCTTTGTGGAAATCTTCATACGCACATTCCGAAATCCCGAAACCCCCAACCCTAAACCCCTGAACCTCTAGACCCTAAACCGACCTTTCCCCTAAACTCCAAGGAGGTGACAGCCCCTCGGGTCGCAATTTTCCGGGAAGCCATCGTCGATCTCCTTGAGATGGACAGCTCAGGGGTGTAGAGCATTAGGGTCCATGTACCCAAATAGTATATACATTGGCCTTAATGTAGTCCCTATATAGGTACTTTAGGACCAATGTATAATGGGCCTAGAAGGAATTTTTTTAAGGGGGTCTGTGGCGTTCGCAGGAATTGCGGGTAGATCGGGTTTAGTATTGAGCCTCCGGGCTTGGTTTAGGTGTTGGTTTGCGGTTGCTGGATTACTTTCTGTTTACCTTTGTTTTGCCTTTTCTACACCTTTCTGGAGTCGCAGTCTCGGCGCACTATTGCCTTTTCATTCCCTTTTGCTTTTCCTTTATTCTACCGTATTTTCAAACCAGCTGTTTGGGGCCTTTCCGTCGGAACGATCCTTATAATCCCAGGCCCCAGGCCTTAGACCTTAAACCCTAGCCCGGAACCGTAAACACGTTTAAGCACATCTAGGCCCAGGCACTCCACTTTGGGGTGTAAGGGCACCCTAACCCCCCAGGTACCTACTATATAGGGTACTAGAGTTTCTAGGGCCCTATATAGTAGGTACCTGGGAGGTTAGGGGCATGTTACCCGGGTTTAGATTTGAAGGCCCGAAACCGGAAAATCCGAAGCCCAAATTTCCCAGAGCTTCCTGGGCCACGAAGGGCTTGAGGTCCTTCGAAAATCAGGGGCTATTTTGGGGTCCTTATAATAAGGATCCTGCTATTAGGTTAGGGGGTCCCCTATTTTCAAGGTCTTTAGGACTTGCAGGGTTGGGGGTGCAGGCTTCAGGGCCTTTAGGGATAATGTTTAGGGTTTATATGGCACTTAGGGTTTTGGGGGTCTAGGGACAAGAGGCGTAGGGTCTATGGAGCGTTGATGCTTAGGTCTGAGGATTGCCGGTGTGCATAGCTTTTAGGGTTCCGGGCTTCATGGTTGTTTCTTTTGCCAGGGTTTCAAGGGAAGCCCAATACCCTTCCCTTCGCCCCGAACCCTGAACCCCGAACCCTGAACCCTGAACCCTAAGCCCTGAACCCTAACCCCCAACCCCCACAGCCAAGCCCTAAACCCAAACTTCGAAGACCTCTAAGAATTCTCTCTTCCAGGAGCTGCCGAATGGACTCCCCTCTAAAGCACGGGTTGGCTTACAGGTGCCTGTGGTCGATGTGGGCGGTGGGTCATTGGGTTTGTAGACTTTTAGATGTATTGGGGTCGGGTTGTGGAGTGGTTTAGTGCGTGCAAAGTTGAGTGGTGTCGGACCCTGCGACATAAGACCAAGACTGCCGTACGTAGTCTCGGACTCAGGATTTAGCGGGTTTGGCGTGGGCCATGCTCAAATAACTAGGGGCGACTCGAAGCTTCAGGGCTGTTTGGCCCATGGAGGCGTGATCACCAGGAGCACCCCAATGACACCTTGATGCCGACACCTCTTTTGTTTCTTCTGTTCATCCTGTGCGTGGCTGGAGTAGTTGGAGCTGCGCTTGGGACGGGGGTGCAGGCGCTCCTGAACTACTCAGGGGGCGCGTACATATACATTCGTCCGGGCCACGGCATTCGCGTTTTTTGCTTGAGCAGTTTGCGGAAGGACCCGTCTTTCTCATGAATCTCGCTCAGAATCCCCCGTGATCCTCTGCTACTACAACGGCTTCGCTGATTAGAAGAAGCATTTGGGTAGTATGATTCCTTATCATTCAGACCCCTACCATACTCTCACAAGATCGGCCCATCTGAGCTTCTCCAGGTCGCGAGTACTCCGCTCGCATCAAAATCATCCAGCGCAGCTGGAGGGTCGCGAACAACAAGGCGCGGCGCTCCCTTTGCAGCTCTGCAGCCCCTAGTTTGGATGCATGAGACAGCCGACCAGTGAAGGATCTCGAGACTTCATCCATGTCCCAAGCCACATTGGCCTTGAACTTGGGCTGAGGAGCTCGTTGAATGGTAGCCTTCAGAGCCGAAAATCCACAACTCCAAACCCTAAACCCCCCTTAAACCCTAAACCCTAAACCCACAACTCCAAACCCTAAACCGCCTATGCCTCTGCCAGGCTTCTGAAGAGGAGCAGGCAGAGGAGGCCGGAGCAGCCACCGCCGCAGTGGCGGACAACGAAGGTGGACGAGGGCAGGTACTATGGGAGTCGGAATTCTCAGTGGTACTATTCGTCAGGGACCTTTCTATAAGTTATAAGTTATAAGCATAAGCATTGTGCACTACACCCCAACACGTTCTACAGTAGATGGTCCAGCCACGGTCTGGGGTTCTAGCGCAGAGCACGGGCAACGTAATGGCTGCTCACCTGGGGATAAAATTCAGATATGACATAAAGATCGCCCAACTCCGTATCATATCAGCTGCAAGATGGCGAGACAGAGCTGTAATCTGCAGGTCTTCCGTCCCCATAGCAAATTGCTGGCATAGGAAGCAGACCCTTGACACAGGACCTGTTACTGTACTCGGATGTGGTGCTGAATGTACGAGTTAAAGCACAGCTTGGGTGCTCTTTGAATTGCTGTTCGAAGCTCCCTGTTGCCGCCATGCCTTAAGCTCAAGCCATCCATCTCCTAGTGCGCGCAAGACACAAGCCTAAACGAACAGAGCCATTACTGAACTGCCCCCTTGATGCTCACAGCTCTTCGCCATCAGTCTGTAGTCATAGTGCGTCGTACCTAGGACTGTTGATCCCGGCCCGACACTAATGGCCGAAAACGAAATCCCACTCTGTCCTGACCCGGCCAGATCTGCTGCAGAAGTCGGCCGAGGAGAAGACTCAGCGAGCTGCTTCCAAGGATTCTACCAAAGACAGCGAAGGCTGTGAGGGCTTTCGTGTCCCAGACAAGGATAAGCGTTGGAGGTGGACGATAGACGATGGCGGCGATGACGACGATTGAAAGGGTGACGAAGAAGAACTTCTGCTGTGGTTACGGTTGTGGTCGTGGTTGTGTTGATGGACATGAGCGTCTTCATCACCTTAACCTACCCCTACCCACTTTCACTCTGTCATCAACAGGGGCATCATTATCGCCATTATCACCATCAGCATCACCACCCCACCAGTGTTTCCACCATCACCACCATCCACAGCATTGTCATCATCATCTTCATGGTCATCATCCCCAGCGTCATCGTCACGATCACTGTCACGATCATCATCATCATCATCAGCAACAGCAGCAGCAGCAGCAGGAGCAGCACCACCATCATCATTGTCATCATCATCATCATCACAATCATCATCATCATCATCACCTTAACTATAATCATCATCATCATCAGCAGCAGCAGCAGGAGCAGCACCACCATCATCATTATCATCATCATCATCACCATCACCATCGCCAACATCATCATCATCATCATCATCATCATCATTTTCATCATCGTCATCATCATCATCATCACCATCATCATCATCATCGTTACCATGATAATCATCTTCAGCAGCATCGTCGTCGCCGTCGTGGTGGTGGTCGTCGTCGTCGTCGCCGCCAACAAACACTCGAAGCAGCAGCAGCAGCCGCAGCCGCAGCCGCGCCACAACTGTCCCGGAATTAAGCTCGCCAAGATCGTACAAGCTTTAGCCAATCAAGCTAGACGGGGTTCTCATCGTTCGCCCTGTGTTTTTCATCCCGCCAGGTGCTCCGGTGCGCCGGGACTCTAAGAACGAGGCCACAAGCACCGTGAAAACCACGGCCACCGAACTCAAGGCGAACCCCTGCTCCTGCAGATCTTTTTTCAGTTCCTAGGGTGTAAGTACATGCAGTGGTATAGCGTAGCATAGCATAGCGAAGTGCAGTGAATTCTTGTAAAGTAGAGCAAAATAAACATCCCCGTGACGAAAGCTTCGACACACGGAGGATCTTCTCAGTATTTCCAGTATTTCTGAGTAGCGTGCCCGTGGAGTAGTTCCTTTCCTGAGCTATGCCGCTACACAGCTCCCGGTTAAGGAGCCTTTCGGTACCTTGCTCGAGGAGTCCAATATAGGGGCCTTAATTAGTACCTATGCAATTTTGGGGGCTCCTTACTATTATATAGTATAGTATACCCCAATACCCTACTCCAATTGTTAAGGCCCCGGATGGGGGTCTCAGTGCTTGGCATGCTAAGTTACACGTCGTGGCGAAGTTTGGTCTTTTGGTAGCAGTCCTGTACAGCAAAATATGGCATAGCGTATTGTGCCATAGGATAGGACAGTGCAATATGGCACGGTACAGTGCAGCACAGCAAGGATACTATCGCATCGTATAATTTGTGTATTGTGTCCTTGTCCTTCGTATTCATGCAAAAGCTGAAATTGTGTAGTCTCATCACCCGTATTGTCTGCGTTGGACGAGGGATCTCCTGAGGAAGGATTCAGGATGTGGTTCTTGCCATACGAGGCCGCTGCAGAATGCCCACCGATCTAGAGAGCACCGCATGCCCGGAAGCCGTGCAGCTATCAAGTGCTGCATTCGTTGCTTTTCAAATCCCAACCTACTGTTCTTAGATGCCCGGTCGTCGTGGAGTCCTAGCGCTTTGTCTGACTGTCTGCGTTCAACTGCCCTGGGCGATCCGCCGGACGGGAGATGAAGCCGATGAGACCTTTGAGGTCGGCGACAGGGTCTTGATCACCAGTGGCAAGTACAAGTTCTGCTCCGGGGAGGTGCTGGAGCTAAGGGCGGAGAAGGAGAAGGCCAAGGTCCTCCGGTCCTGCAACGGGAGCACTCAGAGTGGGGCCTGGTGGTACTCTTTCGGGCAGATCGAGGCCTTGGAGGAAGAGGAGCCTGCCTCCGAGGAGCTGGGAAAGGAGCCGGACAACACCCCGGCGTCGAGGGACTTTGAGGTCATACAGGACACGGAGTATTTGCAAAGACACCCTCTCTGTGACCGATACAGGGACCAGGCTCCAGTAAATGCAAAAGCTACGCCGCCTCGGCTGGCTGGACGCGTGGTCGTTCGTCGTGGGCAGACATTTTTGGTGCGTGCCCGAGGCACGGTCCATGCCGACCATGTAGCCATGGTTTTCTTGGCCTCAAAGCCAGGAGTTGAAAGCGAGTCTGTGATTGGCAGGCCAGGTATCATAGAAGATGGTAGCATTCGGCTGGAGGTGCCCGCTGATGCCCCTGTGGGCGAGTACGAGCTCCGACTCGTTGTTGGGGATCATCAAGCAACTGCTTTGGGGTTCATAGTGATCTTCAACCCGTTTACCTGCCGGCAATGTCCGGAGTCTGCAGGACGCCGCCGCAAGCTCAAAGCAGAGTTCATGGCTGAATATGTTGGGGGAGAGCAGGGCTTATTGTGGCAGGGGCTTTCTGACGACTATGGTGCCAATGTCTGGCAGCATGATCCATTTCGGGCTGCCAACCTTTTGATCTCACTCTCCTTGCTGGCTGATCTTCCGCTAGACCTCCGCTCTGACTCTTCGGCCATCGCTAGGCACCTGACCTATGCCATAGGTGAAAGGGTCTGCTACGGGAGCCTTGGCATATCTTTGGCAATCACAGCTTTTCGCAACTCTTGTGCATCAAGCCGAACGAGTAGGAGCTGTCTTATGTTTCTCCCTGACATGTTGGCGAGGAAGTGGGGGGAGGGCAATTACGCCACGGGGCGGCCCTACCGTGGCTACCGTTGCCGAACGAAGAAATACCTGCAAAGGAAAGGCGCGGGGCTGAGCTTTGAGGCCTTGTCAGTTCGTTCAAAAGGATGATCTTTGCTGAGCCAGACCATAGGACCATAGAAGCTGCTCGAAGCTAAGGCAAGGCGAATGAGTGGTCGAAGATCTGTTCAGATCCTTCCTCCTGGACGTCCTCCTCCCCAATTCTGGAGCAACATTGGGGTCTCGTACAATCTGGATCCAAGGCGACTTCCGTGCAATACTGCCAGTGCTTCGTCTTCTCCGGCGTGATGACCACCATTGGCAGAGCTCTTGGGATCGCTACGAGGTCCGTGACGAACTTCCAGTCCGCTCACGACACCAACGCAGACCGGGGAATCTCTAAGTTCTTCTTCGCTGCCTCGGATGGAGCCTGGAGCCCGGCAGAGTACCCGGAGGACTTGTGCCCGGCATGGTGCCTCTCCCAAGCCAAAGCTGCAGAGAAGGGCTGCCAGCTCACCAGCTGCAAGCAGCAGCTCTCGACCGGACGCGGCTTCACTGGGATGTGCGCCTCCTGCATGCCCTGCGTCCCCTGCAGCAGCAATTCCGACAGCGTCTGGTCCTTCCATGTCTGGAATGAGATGTACTTCGCCAGGACCGAGCCGGGCGCAGACGGCTGGCAAGCAGTGGATGCCACGCCTCAGGAGGAGTCGGGAGGCCGCTTTCAAATAGGGCCTGCGGCCGTGAAACAGGTGAAGCAAGGAACCAGCGACTGCTTCGACACCGACTTTGTTATTGGAGAAGTGAATGGCGATGTCAAGCTCTTCGTGTACAGCGTTCCTGATTTCAGTGATACCGCCAAAGAGGAGGCTGCTGCCAATGGACGTTTTGTCTTGCACATGGGGGATCCTCTTTATTCAGGAATCCGCTGGTATAGTGATCCTTTTGGGGACATCTTCAACACCATCGGCTTCAAGGCAATCACCAAAGAGCCTGGGGCCATCTCAGCCGCATGCCTGGCGGACCCCACGCAGTGCCAAGAGGAGGAAAGTCTTGCTGAATCAGGTTTCTGAGCTTCACAAGAGAGGCCTTGTATACACATGCCTTGCATTCTTTGGATGGTTCTCTGTCCAAATAGTATTGCACCACGAAGAAGGAACATGACCTGAATAAACCCTTCCCGCCCCNNAAAAAAAAAAACAACAACAAAAAAACAAAAACAATAAATAAAACAAAACAAGACGAAGAAACGCCGATAGAGGAGCTGGACCTGACTCCCTTCTACAAGAAGTGCCCGAACCCTCTCCGCCGCGGTGCGTCCTGCCGTGCCGGGCCGGCTCGTTCGAAGGCCCAGTGCCGGGAGCCCGGTGCGAGCTCGAACTCGAGCTCCTTTCTGGAGCTTTGGCTTTTTTTTTTTGAGGGGTTTAGGGTTTAGGGATTAGGGCTTCAAAGGGGTTCTATGCAGGATTTCACAAGTGTTGGAAAACGATCTTGTTCGATGGGATTGTCTGTGATTTCTTTGAGGGCTTTGGTTTGAGCGGTCAGTCGCACTCCACCAGCATATTTCTTCTGAGGACACGTCACGTGGCTCATGATTCCTAAACCGTACACCCCAAGCCCCCAAAACTGCATACCCCATCCTGAACCTAAGCCCTCATGATGTCCTAAACCCTAAACCCTAGCCCGTAAACCCCTAGCTATTATCCTAAACCCCCTTAACCCTAAGCCCCTGACCATGACCCTACAACCCACATGATTTTTTAGGGTCCCAAGGAGAGTGGCGCGACCGAAGAGGAGGCAGAGGGCCGGGCCATGGCGCGGCAACTCCAGGAGCTATCAGATGTCCAGGACCCGTCATCGCTGATATGATAAGTTCCAGGATGTTTGAGGGTTTCGGGTTTCAGGGTTTCGGTTTTTGATTCCAGGAGATTAGGGTTTCGGGTTATACTATATGCACCAAGGAAATATGACTAGAAAAAGGAGCCGAAATGAGTACCCGCAGTCTTCTTATGGGCCTTGGGCCCATGCCCCACTCTAGTCATTAAGACCCCTCTTCCAGGCCACTTTTGCAAAAGGCCCTTGCTTGCAGTATGTCCTTTCAGACAGAGACCTGCGGAAGCGGTTTGGGGCTTAGGTAGTAGGGTTCAGGGTTCAGGGTTTAGGGTTTAGGGTTCAGGATGACTGGCCTCATAGAGGGGTCGGAATTGCATTCCTCAAGGACGTGACAGTGGACTTCAGCAGCTTTCTTCCAGGCGGCAGTATCGTGATGGAAAGGGATCTGCCATTGAAGCTCTCTTTCCGGAATTCTGGGAGTCAGAGGCGGACGATCCGGTTTCTGGTCTCCGCCACTGGCTGCGACTACCGGGGGCGACCTGTCGTCCACATGGAGACCCGGCGCAAGAAGTACGCCATGCGGCTGCCCCTGGAGGGACGTGAGACCCTGATGCAACGCGAGCTGGAGCTCGCTCCCGGGGGAGAGCATACTTTCCAGCACACTGTGGCTGCTGCAAACCTGGATGCCGACCTGCTGAGCAGCCTTGAGATCAATGCAGCAGATGGCACTTTCTTCCTGCAATTTCATGTCTCGGCACTCGTTGTTGAGACTGGTCAACGCTTTGCTCATGAGCCCCGCAGGCGCCTTGCAGAAGAGCGCCAGTGAGCCAAGAGGTGGCATGGACGGATGCCGAGAAAAAGGAAGCTTGCTTAAAGGCACTGCGCTTGCTGATGTTGCTAGTAGCTGACGACCGGCAGCAAGACACGAAGTCTGAAGCACTTCTTTGCATTCAGGTGCCCACCACTTTTAACGAGATGTTCCTGTTCAATGCTGCCGTGATGGGTTTCGGCCAAAGTACCTTCGAATGAAATAAAACTGGTCTCTTGCGTCTCCTCGCCGATCTGCTAAGTTTACGTGTAAGACAGGCGAAACTCTGGAAGACTCCAGCGGCTATGGTGCAGCAGCAGCAGGACTAGGTCCCGTACAACATCTATGCCCACAAAGCACCGCCTTTTTTGGAATCGTCGCAGCGTCTCTTCACTGAGGCACCTGGATGCACCTCGTGCTAGACCAGTTCGGAGCCCGGAGTGGTCAGCTTGACAGGCTACTGCTACTGCTGCTACTGGTGCCACTGCCAGTGACTGCCCCTCCTCCTCCTCCTCCTACTCCTCCTCCTCCTACTGCTACCTGCTACCTGCTAGCTTCTACCTGCAACCTGCTACCAGCGACCTGCTGTCTGCTACCTGCGACCTGCGACCTGCTACCTGCGACCTGCTACCTGCGACCTGCGACCCGCTACCTGCGACCTGCGGCCTGCGGCCTGCTGCTACCTGCTACCTGTTACCGGCTACCTGCTACCGCTACTGCTACTGCTACTGTCACTGCTACTACTACGACCACGACTAACTACGACGACGACCACCACCACCACCGCCACCGCCGCCGCCGCCACCGCCACCACCAACACCACCAACACCACCAACACCACCAACACCACCACCAACACCACCAACACCACCAACACTATCACCACTACTAGTACTGCGACCTCCACTCATGTACTTGCAAAGCTAAGGTTTGACGACATTGTGAGCAATGTGGCCACCAGGATGCAGAGCATAGCCGCGCTCATGTTGTCCCTGCTTTTCGTTTGTCGCCTGGTCGTCTGCAGCAGTAAGGTGGAATCCTGGAAGTCGCTGAATGTCTGATGCAGATGTAGAGTGACAGAGCATCTTCCTGCTCAGCCGATGCACCCTTTCTGTGGTTTCGCCATATTTGGCTGGCAGAAGTTCTAGCACTGCCCTGGCTTATATGGAAAGCTTTAGCACGCTTGCTGATCCTGTGGAGCGCGCGTGTGATGTCCTGTTTCGCAGGGACCGCGCATGTGCGCTCAGGCGAATTCATACCGCCTGCAGGAGGAGTGCGACGTGCTGTCACTTGTTTTAGCACAGCCTCTTGGATCAATTCTTTCGGTGTGAGTTGTGCTACCCGTCACGAGACCGAAGGCTTTTTCATTTTGGGTTTGTCATTTCTTAGAGCTTCCATGGAGAGGCTAAGACCAGCTCATGTGATCTACCTTGTTGATATAGCTGATCGCCCGATTGATTTTCTGTCACCCGACTTTATGTCATCCTTCGTCATGTTTCTACCCCACAAGCTCCGTGCCACCCTTGTGCGAGGCATCCGGGCTCCATTCGCCTTTCCGAGCCCTTTGGCTAATGGCGGCAGGGGCATTACGCGGCACAGTGTACAGTATGTATATCACATATAATAGAAACATATGACTTGTAATAGAAAATGCACGCAATACTTGTAATATATATATATATATGTATACATACACATACACACACACACAGTATATAGTATATACATATAAGCTCATGCTTCAGCCTGGGATACAAGTCAGGGGAGGCACTGCTGAGCTTCGAATCCATGGAGGACGAGGGCATTTCTATAAAGACAGCTTCTCACACTTTGCCCGGTCATAATTCGGGGGGGGGGGGGCTTCACCTTGCCTTCCGTTCCGCACCCAGCCCTAAGCCCTAACCCTAAACCCTACTGAACCCCTAAACCCTAAACCGCTAAACCCTAAACCCTGAACCCTGAACCCTAAACCCTAAACCCCTAAACCCTAAGCCCTAAACCCTAAACCTAAAACCTAAACCCTGATCCCTAAACCCCAAACCTAAACCCTGAACCCTCTGTCAAGGTTCAAAGCCGTCATGCTGGCATCTTTGAGGTCCCTCGTGCCCAAGGACTGACGGAGTTGTCCTTTTGCGGAGGGGGCTTTACGGTAACATAGGGGCCTTAATAATTAGAATAGGCTTTGGGGGTATAATATACTGTAATTATAATAAGGAGCCCCCAGAACCCTATTTTAATTATTAAGGCCCCTACATTAACGGTCTATGGCTTCGGGCTGTGCACCGTTATCACTCCGGCGAGCCCAGTTGACGACAATGCCAGCAAAGCCAACAGCCAGCTGCCGCGTATTAACATGCATCTATCAATCTGTGATTGAACGGTTTTTTCATTTCCTTGCAGTGTGCAATTTCCCGTTCATGCACTCAGGGACCCTTATACTACAAACCCATATACAGTAACCCATGTAGCAAATCATGGCAGCCCATAAACCTCAAGCAGCCTCAGGAGTGGGACTCCAATCACGAGGCGAGCTGCCTGCTTCGATCGGGTTGAGAGGTCATTTTCTTTCTGCTTCATGAAAGACGATACCGCAGGATGCATCTGCATAAGGTCCAGGCCAGTAGAGGAGACCTTTTGTCTAATTGCCCCCCTAAACCCTAAACCCTGGGAACTTAAATCCCTAAACCCTGTTAAAATATTTAAGAACAAAACACACACTGGTTGACCGGCCCCCCTGCTAAGAAGCCCATCCTTCTAGTCTGCTCTCGGCCTTTACCCCCCGAGCCCGAAACGTCCCAAGCACGGAGAGGGGTTTAGGGGTTATGGGTTGCTGTAGGGTTTGGGCCTCTGCCGCCCTCGTGCTATAGTACTGTAGTAGACCACCGAGACCTCCTGAACCCGCAGGCCCTAAGCCTTTATAACAACCTTTATACTATCCCCTCATCCCCAAAAGAACACCAAAAAGACGCTTAAAATAATTGCTATAAGATTCAACTAATATATATATATATCTATCTATCTATCTATCTATCTATCTCTCTCTCTCTCTCTCTCTCTTATATATATAGCTGTTAGTACTGCAATATTTGCTAGAATGATTACCTGGTGTGAAACCATTTCCCCAAACCCCGAGTCTAATGTAGGGACCTGAACAACTACCAGTGCACCATCAAAAGCCCTTTTGTATTTAGGTAGTATGACCCCGAGAGTAAGCCCTTATAGCAACCCTTATAATAACCCTTCGGGGAATCCTGAAAGATCTCTATTCCAATTATCAAGGCCCCCCAGTAAGCCTAAACCATGAAACGCATCCCTTATGGTATCCCATATAGCAACACTTTATAGTATCCTTCATGGTAACTAACCCTTAAGACTACCTTATGAAAGCTCACCGAGTCGCTAAAAGCGGTCGCAGGTCGCATGGAATTGGCTCTGGGAGAACGTGGAGCGGATGCTTCGGTCTCACATCGGCAAGCCTCAGGTGCGGATGAGTGTGAAGGGTTTCGGGTTCCGGATTTAGGGGTGAAGATTCGGGGGAGATGTTTTCCGGTTTTAGCCCTTGTCCAGTTATGGGATGCTAGTAATAAACACCCCCTACATCATGCGTGGGTGCAGTTCGGACCTTATGGTGGCGTTTTCTGGAATGTTGGGCCTCCGCCAATTCAAGAGATTCTGGCCTTGAAAGTGGAGGTCCCAGAAGATCGTGGCACTGGGATCTAGGCCCCAGCTTGCCCCGACACCCGAACCTTCAGCCCAAGCCCTAAACAAGGACTCACACCGCAGACCCCAGCGTGCACACTTCATGCTTCTTTCTGTCAAATGTGGGCGAAGGGTGATGTGTTGGAAGTGAGTTAGGGGAAGCGCTGGTTACGGCAGGGAGAAGTTTGAGAATTCCCGTGACGTTTTCTTTTTGCCTTCTCAAGTCAGTGCAAGTCACTCCATGCTGCCTTAAGCCAGAAGCCAGAACCCAAGAGGACCAATACCTGAACACTGGCAAAAAGAGGAAGGACAGGACGAACGGGGACACTAAACCTTGAACGCTTGAGCCAGACGCCCTCAACCCCACGCCCTAAAGTTTTAAAGGGTCAGTACTCAAAACCCCAACCCCCAAACCCCTAAACCCTGTACTCTCCATCCAGAGGCTCCCAAAGCTACCAAGGAGCAAATCAGCACAGAGATCAAGCCTAAAACACTGGAGCCCTAAGCCCCTACCCCTAAACCCCAAACCCGGGAAGCCCTAAAACCCAAAGCCCTGATACCCTGAGCCCTGCCCAAAAAGCAGAACCAGGCCCTAAGCCCCTGATCCCTAAACCCAATCCCCAAATCCCTAAACCCAACTCCCCAAACCCCCAAACCCCCGAAAAACCAAACAAACACACAAACACACAAAAACAAACCAACTAAAAACAGAAAACACAACACCAAGTAAACCAAGAGCCCGGAGGCGCACGAGGAAGCCCTGGGCCGATTCATCCTCAGCCTCTCGGAGACTGGGCTCTGGAAGTCACCCCGTAGGAGAGCTCGTAATGGGTCCCCTTTTAAAAGGAACCCTAAGCCCCAAACCCAAAAGCCCTTAAAGGAACCCCAAACCCCAAAACCCTAAGACCCTGAAAGGAACCCTAAACCCCAAGCCCTAAAACCCTGAAAGGAACTCCAAGCCCTAAGCCCCAATTCAACCCTGAACGGTAGGAGCTTCGAATCCAACGGATTCCTTAAGAAGAGCCCAGGAGACTTCGATCCTCTTCTTGCGCCAGGAGCTCTATCGAAGGCGGGGTTTTGAAGATTCCAACATCCTAAACCCTAAACCCCAAACCCTAAACTGTCCTAAACCCTAAACCCTAAACCCTAAACTGTCCTAAACCCTAAACCCTAGGTCCCTGGTTGAGGGTTTAGGGAGTTGTGGTTTTGAGTTTATGGATTTTGGGTTTGGGATTTGGGGTTCAGGGATTTTGGTGTCGGGTTTGGGGTTAAGGGATTATTGTTTCGGGTTTAGGGTTCAGGGCCCTGCTGGTTTGAGGGGTGGGTGGGGTCTGGTGTTTCATGGGTTCTATGAGCGGTTCTATGGGGGCTTTATATAGGCAAGGTTCTACGAGGGCTGTGTAACGGTTCGACGCGGGTTCGGCCAAGGGTTCTGCTGCGGCTGCAGAGTTCAGGGCTTTACTGGTATAAGGTTCAGGGTTTCGGGTTGCGGGTTTGAGTCTCTGGTGTTCGGGCGCGTGGCTTGTAGGGTTCATAGGGTGTGCAGGGTTTGCATTGTTGGGGGTTTGAGATGTAGGATTCAAGCTTTAAGATTTAGGGGTCAGTGCTTCAGGCTGTAGCCTTAGCAAGGACATTCGCGTGGAATCTGAGAAAAGGAGTGTGTGTTGAGAACACCCAGGACGGAAGCTACACTTCTTTTCTGGGATTTGGACCTAGGTTGATGGAGAAGTTGACTTGGCCTCTTAGATGGAGAGGTAGGCAGTTTCGTGGCGCCACACGAAGTAAATCGGAGATTCCTCAACTAGGTGATTGTATTCCTTTGTATTACCGACAGTAGAACATGATACATCTCAAATCCCATGTCCGCCTTTCCTTGTCATTGGCTTGTGCCTCGACTGTCCTCGCGTCTGGGTTTGAACCCTAATTTCGGGGCCTAAAGAATTACCAGTACTATTTCTGGGGGTTCCTTATTATAATTATAGCATTATGGACCCCCAAACCCTATTCTCATTATAAAGGCCGTACATTAAACACTTAAACACTGGACGCTAAACACTAAAGCCCCAAACTTTTCTCGAAAAGCCCAGGTTCTTCGCCGTCGCCCCGGCCGGGCAGGACCATTTCAAGCAGTCCACCACAAGGCTATATTTCATTGCCGACAAGCGCCCCGTCAGGAAGAGAACGTTTATCGAGCCTAGTGCCCGTAAACTTAGGGTTCGGCTATGCTGCGGATAGGTGCGTGCTGTTCCCACGGCTCCACTCATCTCCCACGACAGCCTTGGCAACAAGGATCATCGAGATGACCGTGGAAATCTTCAGATCTCCGCGGCAGATGGTCGAGTGCCAAGATCAGTTTTTTTCGGCTGTTGCTGATGGCATGTGGACGCACACACGACCCCTTTCTAGCATGTCGTACCAGACTATCGCGCACACATCGCCATTCTTCAGTACCCGCCAGGTCGTCGACATCTCTGCTCTGGGTCTCCGCTGCTTGGCCAGATGATTCACATGATGTGTTACTTGGAGGTTCATTTGTACTTATAAATGGGGTTATCAGTCCCCCAATTTGGGTTATAGTTTTGGGTTATCAGTCCCCTAATTTGGGTTTATAGTTTTGGTTACCCTACTTAGAGCCCAAATATGGCGATGTGGTCCCGGGCTCCTACCTCGTCTCGGATGGTTGCGATCCACGAGCCATCTCTCATCTCATGATCTCTCAGTTTCCCTATCTGCTCCTCGATTCTCAGATAGGTACTTGACGGTGTGATGAGCATGCCGCAGGTGTGTGTGTGTATATATATATATCTATCTATGTGTGTGTGTGTGTGCGTGTTCCAAGTCCTATCTATTTGCTTCATGGGCCGAGGCCATGTTGGTTACGAAGTGCCCACCGAGCTCTTCGCACCCTTCGTGGCTCCGCTTGGTATAGTGAGAGAGACGTCTGGTTAAGATTGATGCATCCTGCCATGCCAAGCCTTCCCTCTTTGGTCAAAGTCTCAGTGATGCTGAAGCCTTCCGGCCAGAGCTCTCTGAATGGAGTGTAGATTCCGGGCGGAGACTCCTTATGCCGTTGACACCGAGGTCTCGGCAGCAGTTGATGTCGTGCGGGGGATGACCACGGAGCCTTGCTTGTTTTGACAGCTCCGAAGCAGTCAAGATCACGCAAGGCGTTACTTGTAAAGCGAACAGAGACAGAACTCCCGAACAGCCCTAAACCCTAAACCCTAAACCCTTACATCCCCGCTTGAGATCAATTGAGGACGATGTGGCCGAAGCAGCCTTCCGCTGGTCACTCACACTGGTCTCGAAGATCCTGGTCCGAACGGTGTTGGAAGGCCGGCCCGAGGATGCCCTTGGCCCCCCGAAAATCTCAGAATCCTCGAAGTCCGGGTCAGGGAAAGCATCGGTTCAATGGCAATCGTAGTTGCTGTCTGCAGGCTCCACGATCGTAATGAGGGCCATCAACACCAACCAGGAGAAGGCTCGCGCGGATAGGAAGGTTTTTGACTGCCAATACGAACTGTAGTATGTTGTTGCCAGTCTTCGTATTAGTAGTGTTCGTCTTCTTCGTCTTTTTGTGACAATGCCATCCGGGCGTCTAGGGGCGAAGGAGCCTCACTCTGTGGAGAGGCTCTTGTAGGGCCACTTGGACTTCTTGGGTCATGCGACAGGGCACTCTGATCCAAAGTCCTTGTTTCGAAGAGGACCGGTGCACAAGCTACCGGGCCCTGCTTTGCGTCCACCCCCGGAATTTGCAATTGGAAGTTCTTCAGCCCTGAACCCGAAAGCATGAGCTCGTAAATGCGGCCTGTCGAAAGTTCCCCAAGTAGTTCACCATGCCCTAAAAAGTCAACTCAGACCCTACGGCCCTACGAACTCAAATCGACGCCAATTTGACAGGAGTGTGGGTGGGCAACAGTTTACATTACTACACTCCTGAAGCATGTGCCAACACGCTTCGGACCCGACCTCTGAACACCCGAAGCGTCAGAGGCTCAGCCTCGCAAAGATGCTCGAATCCCTGAGCCATAAACCCAAAACCCTAAACTCCTAAACCCAAAGCCCTGAGCAGTAAGCCCTAAACCCCAAACCCCAAACCCTAAACCCTAGGCCCTAAGGCCCTAAGCCCATCCCTCGTTCACAGCTCCGCAGGCGCTGCGCAAGGCGATCGCCGTGGCACCCCGCGGGCGGAGGGCCACAGAGTTGCTGGAGATCCGGGTGTTTTGGGCATGGACTGGAGAGTTGCCGGTTTTGAGGGTTTGGGGTTTAGGGCCTGGTTTAGGGGGGTTAGGGGGGTATATTTTTAGGGTTTAGGGGTTTGGGGTTACGGGTTTAGGGTTTAGTGTTTGGGAGGAGTGGCGTAGGGCTTTTGAGGGTTTTTGAGGGCTTTCGCAGCAGAGTGGGGGCTGAAGGTGTGGTCAAAACAACGAAAGAACTTGGAACTGATGGATCGCAGTGTTGAAGTAGGGTTCCCTATCTGGGTAGTTCTCTAAAGCAGGGACCCTTTTGGGTCCCCCAATATAGTACGGCACCCTTATAAAACGCACTCTTAGAAAGGGACCCTAGTTTCGAGAACTACCCATCTAGGGGCAGGCAACCCCACACCCTCCTTTGTTATTCCCCTGCACCTTTTCGCACCCAAATCCAGCGTTTTGACATCCCCGGCCAGAGTTGGATTCCCTGAAACCCGTGGAATCCATTGTCGGAAATTTTGAGCAACTTGAAACCCAAGGTTGCAATAGTGACAGCTGCTCATCCAACGGAATGGCCAAACTCAAAACCCGCCCCGAAGCTGCCGCGTATGCTTATTATTCGTAGTATCATACTATACGATATATTATAATTATTAGGAATATTGTTTGTGATATTGCTACTGTTGTTATTGTTATTGCCACTACTATGACTATTATTAGCACTATTCGACTATGACCATCGTTGGTAACTTCAGTGTTATCGTCATGGTTGTTGCTTCTATATTCCTATTATGAGTACTCTTGTCGATCATCATAACTGTTGCCTCAACCCTAAACCCTAAGCCCTAAACCCTAAACCCCTATTATTCCCACGATTACTATCCTTCCCCCGAGGTGGGCACCCAGTCCATCTCTCCGCTCTTCTGGGCCATTGAGAGTGGGAGCCTGAACTGTGGAAAGGCCCAAGCACTGGTGGCTTACAGAGTTTCGGGTTTTACCAGGTTGTAAAAATTTTTTTCGGGTTTTACCAGGTTGTGTGTGTGTGTGAATCCAAGAAGTGGCTCACATATATGTTTATAGTCTTTACTTAGACTAGTTGTACTTTTTCATATAGGTCTCCCGGCACTCAGTACATGCCTCGACCTTCACCGACGACGCAGAGACAACGGTTCGGGGTGAATGAATATTCGTGCAACCCTTGTCATCCGACGACGGCGACGACGACAGCAGCGCTGGATAGTTTGCCGTGACGACCCTATATCATTGGCGACGACACCCAGATCTGCAGCAGAGTCAACTGCAGTCCTGACGTAGCCAAGAGCCAGACTGCATCTGCCGGCATGTGTCATACTGTGTCACACTTTGTCATAATTTTATGTCATATTGTGCCATATAATGTCAGATTATGTCACTTTGTATTGTTTTAACTGAGTTTTGCTATACATCATACAAGTATTATGCATCTTATATCTTAGCATCTTGCATTATACCGTCTCAGGTTATATCAGGTTATGTTATACTATATTTTATTATGCTACTATACTATACTATACATGCTACGCTGTAATACTGTGCTACTATACTATACTATACTATACTGTACTGTACTCTACTATACTATACTATACGATACTGTACTCTGCCATACTATGCTATACTGTACTATGCTACTATGCTATACTGTACTATGGATTACTAGCTATGCTATACTAAAAAATAGTAAACTACACAATACAACACTATAATGTTCTTCGATATCACGTCATACCAGGTTATGTCATGTGATATCATGACGCTACATCATACTGTTACATCATGTATTATGATCTTCTATGCTATGCCGTGTCACACTACACAGTGTTATGTCATATTGTGTTGCAATATAGTACATTCTGTTATATTGCATTGTGTTGCTTTATTTCGTACTGTTTGGTGATACACTCTAATAGCATTGTACCATGTTGCTATTTTATTTCTTTTTTATCATCTGTTTTATTAATCTTGCTGTACAATATTACATTATGTCACATTATACTATATTAATTATGTTTGTTTATTCTGTTACAATTATAGAATACTATATATTAATATACAGTACATATCATACTATATTGTATTATATAAGATTGCTCGACCTGTTTATACCCTACCTCAGTGTGTACATATATATATATATATCGTTTTTTTGCTGCGTTTTTTTGGCTTAAACGTCGTTACATTTATTACAAGAGCAAAAGCAGTGAAACAACAGAGTCTCTTCGCATTGTTCGCTCATGTTCGCTTCGTTTTCTCCATCAAGATCGTGCTTTCGCTCATGCTGCATCACGTTCTCACAGAAGGAAAAAAAGCACTTCTCGAACATCATATTATACCGCATTAAGTTGCATCATACGTTCTACATCGTACTGTCTCATAAATTTAATTTTACACTGTATTTTATCACGTTTTTTTTACTGTACGGTACTGTATCATGATAACATATCATATCATACTATTTTATTTTATTTCATAGCAGAAAAACTATACTTTATAAAATAAGATAATACTATAGTCTTCTTTATTAGTATAACATCACCCTAATTATATGTCGTATCACAATATACCATATCATATCACAGAACTTTTTTGTATCATATCATATTATACTAACGTTGCGTAACATTACCTTGTATTATACAGCATTGCGTTATATTATTTTCTGATAGGTTATAGTACATTATTTTCAGTATAGTGTATTTACACATATTGTTGTATTGTATTTCACGATATAGTATCCTATACCAGCCTATACTGTACTTTATTATATTATGCTTTTATCCTGTTATCTTGTGTTGTATGTTCTTCCATTATATTAGACTGGGTTATATACTGCCCCCCTCCTCAGGACCATCCTTCTGGTTTTAATCCTGGGTGACTTCGGCTCCGGCATTGGCATCCGAACAGGCCATGATCCAGGACCTGCTCACGATCCGTGCGGACCGTGACAACTACTACTATGGCCCCTTGGCCGGCCGATTTTTTGAGCCTTTGGGCATTGCCATTACTAATTCGTACTATGGTTATGATGATCGTTATTGTTATTAATTACCAACATTATCATTACCACTGTTATTCGGATAATCATTAGCCGGGCATCTCCGTTAGCCTCTTGCCCTATAAAAGCCCAGCAGCTTTGCAAAGAGGGGACGTATTCCGAGAGATTGGTCGCCGTGTCCACGACCCCTTTACTGATGGGAGCAATGAGGCTGCGATGATCTCTTCAATCGCCATCCAAATATCATTCAGAAGCTCTGTGCGGCTCTGAGATGGGTTCCGAGCAAGTGCTTTTATCTAGCCCCAACTTCCTTCCGCACGCCCGTGTGTTTTCCCGAGCATGACTCACTTTGCCGGACGCTGTCAGTCGAGAGGGGGGAGGTTAATATCGAATCTAGTTGTTCGGAGAACGTTTGCAAGGCGTACCCATCTTGTATTAGACGCAAGGGTACGGGGTCTTGGCCAAGCTGCTGTGTAGATCCCACCCTGAACAAGTTCTGGGTTTAGCTGAAGGTCCGTCCAACCTGGATAGTCGCTGCGAAGCTGTTGAAAGTCAGCTCTTAGGGTCCAGTCTGTGGGTGTGGCAGGCATGCACATCGGTTTAGGGTTTACTGTAGCGGTCTAATCTTAGGCTTAGGGTTGTTGAGGCAGACGTTTTTGTCAATCTCGGGGTCTCGGTGCGAGATGCTTACACCAAAAAATGACCAAAGCGATTTCTCTATGCTCCGGGTACCTATGGTAGCACAATAAAACATATAATGGTCTTTTTATAGTATACGATATCATATTACATTATATTGTTTTGTTTTTTTGTATTGTTTTGTATCATAGTGAATCTTTTAGTATAGGCTAGTATATTCTGGAAACTGATAGTACTTCAAGCTTAATGCTAGTATACTACAGTATACCACAGCATATTCTTGAATATTCCAGCACATTCTAGTACCCCAAGTGCTGCGCAGGTGCGGAGGCTCCCACGATGCTTCAGCCCCTGCTGGATGGACTTGTTTGGCGCTCGCGTATCACGTTCCAAGGCAAGGTCGAGCTGGGATTGACCACCAACCGAGGAGAGGAGTAGTAGTAGTAGTAGTCGTCGTCGTCGTCTTCGTAGAAATAGTAGCTGCAACAGCAACAACAACAACAGCTACTGCTACTGCT